TTACACTTGTAGATATTAATTGCAAGAAAGTATCCCCCCTTTTTTTTTTTTTTTTTTTTTTTTTAAGCAAATCTTTTGGAAAGCATTAAATTGAAGAAAAGTATAACATTGAGAGTTAATCAGAATACTTGGAATGATTTTCATTCGGGAAAAGGTATCCAAAATAGTAATAGGGATACTTGGAAGATATTCGTAAAGGAATAGAAATAGAGTTGGCAAGTAAGAAGAGATATCTGAATAATTCGTTCTCGAAAGGAGAAAAGATCCTTTATCAGAACTTAATGAGAGATCGTAGAGAAACTTCCGATTCATTCTAATTTCAAATCAAACTATTTTGCACTTGAAAAGGAAAGTTAGATGCGTGAATGTGTTGGGAGAAACGAGTGCCATAATTGCAGTCTATTTCTAAAGATAGCAATTCATCAGCTAGCTGACGATTTTATTTCCTTGAGAAAAAGTTAGAACTGAAAAGGAAGAAATCTTGTACAGTTTTATGTACGTCTGGTATATTTCTCATGGTCTTCATCGTCATCTTTGTCATCGTCGTCGTCGTCGTCGTCGTTGTTGGGTATGTCGGTGGCATCGTTGACGATGCCGACGTCGTTCTTGGTTCAAATAGATGGCATTCTTCGTTTCCTTCGTGAAGGAGGAGAGAGAAGAAGGGTAGGGCGACGAAGGAGATGATAACATCTTCGTAAGGTTGCCTATGAATTTTTATCCGGTTCGCCCACAGCCACGAGCCTCGGGGGAATTGCGAATCGCGCGCGCGTGCTCATGTGAGAAAGAGAGAGAGAGAGAGAGTGAGAGAGATGCTTTAAAAAAAACTGTGCCTTCTTTTCTCTCTTATCACCAGTCTACTCGTAGCCTGATGGAAGTTATCAACAAGACTAGAAAACGTAACGAGTCTCTTTCCATCTTCTCGCACCCCTTACAATTTCTTTCTCTCTCTCTTTCTCTTTTTCTCTCTTTTCTTGAAACGATCAAGCTTCACAAAAATCACAGTTTCTTTTTCCGCTTGAGCTTTTCGACCAACCTACTCCGTATAGGTTCGTATAATGCGGTTGGCGTTAGGTCGGAATACGATTTCAGCTTTGAAGAGGTGATGAGATATGTAACACTCACTTCCGCTCAGGTTTTTTCCACATTTGTGACTTCATCCTTGTCGTCGTCGTCATCGTCGTCGTCGTCGTCGTCGTCGTTGTCGTCGGTGGAACGAAGCAATTTATTCCGCAGCACGCAACGTTGCCTCTCCTTGAAAGCTCGCTGGTCTGCGAGATTTTCGTTTAACGACTTCATGAGTTTACAGTCTAATCTTGTTCTTATACCCATTCCGTTTTTCTTTTTATTTTTATTATAAACGATCGATATTAATTGATCATTATTATTATCGTATTAATTTTCTTTTTTTCGTCGTTAGATCTTCTTCATCGATATGCATTTTATTTGTAATAACATTAATCCATTTCTAATTAAACAAATTCTAAATCGTTGATAAAACTTTGAATTACATAATAAAAATTATAATAATGTACTATTATAATGTGGCATTTATCGATAGGTATCCGATCGTATCACGAAATAATAGAATATTAAAATTCGTTCTTCTACGAGAATAGAAAAAAAGCTTCGGAAAGCGATTGATAGAATATAAAAAAAAAAAGAACGAAGATCGATATCATCGAGTGGTCAAAAAAATGTTTAATCTCTTTTCTTCATATCCAATCATTCCCTCTTTCTTTTTCGTCGTAGGTACTCTTTTTTTTTATATTTGAAATTTTTAGATATTCCGATGAGGAGGTAGAGGAGGAGAAGGAGGATGCCGATTCAACGGCTTGAAAAAAGTGAGAAATAGCGCGTATCCCGTCAAGCTAGCTGCTTGGGATCACGATATAGCTTGAAAATAAGCTTACGTGGCATAAGTTTGGCTTCGGAGACGGTAAGAAAAGAAGAGTCAGCCGTAGACGATATAACGGGTAGAAAATCTGTAAGAGTTGTGGGGTCGAGAGTAAAAGAGGGTTTGAGGGATGTTAAAGGGGAAGAAGGAAGCAAACCAGCTTCGATTTCCCAACGTCGAGATGACGAGATATGAGATTACACTTTCCCGAAAACTATTTCTATTAAGTTGAGTTTTCAACGTTTTACTGTGTTAAACGATTATGAGAATGTGGTTTCTTGATACGGCTTTGTGTGTAAACTTTCTACATATCTTTAGATGTTTTTAATGTAAGGGTTGCCGGGTGCATGCCATTGGTAGCTCGTTTTACGTGCCGTAGTTGAGATAACGAACGAACATCGAGGATATTAATGAAAAATATAGACGAGGAACTAACGAGATCGTTGCTTGCTTTCGCACGCATCTTCTCTTTTTTTCTTTTGTTCTTTTCTTTATTTATTCCTTTTTTCATTTTTTGTTAATTTTTATTTTTCGTGCATTTTCTCTCTCTCTCTCTGTATATATATTTTGTATTCCTATATTTATACTCTTTTTTTTCTTTTATCTTTCTCATTAAAACTTTCAAAATATTCACAGCTCGAACGAAATGCTTTCCATCTTACTATATATATATATATATATATATAGTATACGTTTAGAATTTTTAATACGCAATATCATTTTTTTCACAAAATAATCTGAAATAAAATTAACAATAGGAATTGGGTAGTAGAAAGCCGTGACAAAATATAACGCGTGCGATCGATACCGCAACATTCGCGTAAATGCTAGGTGACTCGAACGCAAGTAAAAGAGAAAAAATATGTGAGAAATGTTGGAAACGTTAGATCGGCTTTCTACCAAAGAGGAGGGCATTTGCCTCGATTGCGAATTTTCGCGAAAAAAAAAAAAAAAAAAAAAAAAAAAAAAAACAAAGAAAATGAACAAAATTGGAAGAAAAAAAAAAAAGATCGAACGGTTATTTCCTCGAGAAATAAATCGCATTCGTGTTAAAGCTTCGGAAGTTATACGTTCACACGAAATAAATCCATGGGGCAAAGTATCGGTGTCCGTGTATATGTACGTGTGCGATGTCTGTGCACGAAAAACGCGGTAGCCCTGTGCTTTTACGCAAAATCAAATTACGTTTTCAAAGCTCTTTGTGTCGATTGACGAACATTTTAGAAAATTACACGAAGGCATTGAATATTTATTCGTGCTGTCTTTGAAAACCGCTAAAAACGACTTGCGAAAAGATAGAACCATCGGCTTGTCCTCGGGCGAGCAATCTTATATTTTGTATTTGCGTAATAAACATGTTCACGACAAGACTTTATTTCGTATTTTTAGCTCTATTATTTCTACTTTTATTCATTGAATGAAAGACGCTGAGTTGAATGAAATGAATTGAATCAATACATTTGTACAACTCGTGGTACAAGACACCCGATGGGATAGTCACTTATGTACAACCGGCGGCACATTCCAACGTAAACGTGTTAAAGTCCAACGTTAATACTAATAAAAAGAAAACAACAAATTTAGAAGAACCTATTACTTTCTTATTCCTTTTTTTTCTTCCTTCTTTCTTTTTTCTATCAACAGTAGTAATTAATCTGACTTTTCTAATAAATGGGCTAAATTATTTTACAAAAAGTCGAAGAAGTCGATGAAGTCGACTCGCAAAGGGTCACGAAGTAGAATTAAGTACAAAAGTAATGAAATTCAAAGGATTCAGTTGGTAGTTAGGACTTTGGACAGCACGCGTGATATCATGTTAATTACTCCTTTTCTCGGGTCTTCCGGTAACAGATCTTCTTCTTTATTCCTTTTTTCATGCCGTTGGTAATTAAAGGAAGCTTTTTCTTCTTTTCTTACTTTTGCCAACGGCGACCGCGCACGGAATTGCGTGCTTTCGAAGGATTTTTCAAAGGAATGTACCTTCCTTATTTCTACACCTTTCATGCGAAATTTTTCATTTAACAT